TATATATAGGGAGAGAGAGATAAAGAAGAATATTGAGGGTACAGAAAACAAGCAGATAATGTTATCATCAAGAGATTTTAAATTAGATTTGCCCGTCATTGAATGGGAGGGCTGAGGATTGGGCCCCGCCTTCACAGTTTCCCCTCCGTCAACCTCTGAAAATCTAGATTCTTACTGGAACCAGTCCACTCAACCCAGTGAAGACAGAGAAAGAAGGATAAAAAGAACATAAAATATAATCCCTCCCCTCCATTACCTTTTAAGTTACCGATTAGTTTCCTTTGATCTCAGTCTGGAAAATTGGTCGGGTCCCTTGTACCGATTTAGTAACCACCTGGCTCCTCCTGCTATACTCTATTTCTAAAAGACATAATTCCTTCCCCTCTAGTTAAATTGCAGGATAGTCTGAACTCTCTAGTTTTGAGATGATGCAAGTCTAAGAGAAGAAGAAAAAAATAATTCAAAAGCGTAGAGAAAGCAGCAAGAAACGCTTCCATTATAATTCTCATGAAGACATGGCAATTCACAGATAATAGAAAGAAAAAATTATCTGTAGAGATTCATGATTGCCTCAGTCCTGAAGGGGGATGTTATTCAAAAAAATACCCTTAGGGTATAAATTATAGTAATAAGCAATACAGCGGTTGGCGTTTCTGAGATCGTTCTTCATACAATGAACAGAGATGTTTTGAGCTTTGAAAACTCTTCTACAAACCTTGTACGTGTAAACTTAGATAGCCTATAATATTCAAGTAAATATCGACATTATTGTATTGGCAAGTGCATTCTAATAGGGCTTGAATTTGGTCGAAAGATCTTATATTGTTTCTTTAGTGGTTGTTAAGTTATTATATTTTCCATTCGGGGGCACACCGAGGTGATGTAATGGTTAGCAAGCTTTTCTCGCTAGAACAATTACGACTGAGTAGTGAGTTCACTGGGTGTCCCTTACTTTCGGCCTTCTGCCACTTCTACGCTTAGAAAATCACTATATTTTCCATTCGTATCAGTTACGAGTTGATCGAGTTCTGTAGCCTTGACTCTAAGAGAAAGAAAACTGAATTTCAAATGTGGAGAAGGCAATAGGAAACAACTCCACTATCTTTCCCTGGAATACATAGCAATTCACAGATAATAAATAAAAGGAATCTGTGGAGAGTCATGATCGTATGCCTCCTGAAGGAAGGTGGCATTTTGCAAACAGTAATTGTTAGACAGTTGTTCCAATGAAAGCAAATTTCCTCAAATTTAGAATTCTATCGGATTTTAGCCGCGCTGTCGTCTAGAAGATGTCAATTCGCCGCCTCCGTATCCCTGTTCCTTGTAACCTTTTTTTCTCTCGTCTCTTTTGGAATGTTCCTAGCACTCTGAAAATTACTGGTACGACTGTCACCATCGCATTCAAAAATTTCCGCAGCTCTCTGACAAAATTGGCATATTTAACCAGATTTTCATTTTTTTTATAGATTTATTCTGTGGTCTATTGTTTATAACAATTCTATCCAGTGTTCAGGTGTCGGTTGGAAGATACATTGAAATCTCAAAGTCTTATTGCATTCTCTACGACAAATTCTTGTCTTTACAAATGACTAAATTAATCCAAGAAATTTTCAGCAGACATAATGTCTGTAGAAAATTTCTTGGATTAATTTGGTTTAAATGTTTTAAACATAATTCTTTGTTAAATGTGTTAAAAAGCTACGATTCAAATGGAAGTGAATATATTCCATTTTGGACTCCTCCTACGAAAAGCCCTTGCCCTGATTCAGTATGTAGAGGTCGGGGGTGGGGGGGAGAGGTGTAGGCAGAAAGATAAGGTAAGACAGAAATATATTCAAACAGACAGGCACACCTTATTGGTGTCGGAGCAGAAAAATGTAGTTACACTTTTTTTTTTTATTAGTTTAAGGCTTTTAAATAGGACAAGGTTCAGATTTAAAAAAAAAAAAAAAAAAAAAGCATATTTTAAGCCTGAGGGAGCCTCCATTTTCTTTTTGAGCATATCTTTATTAAACCGTAATAACGAAAATATCTAACTTTCATTAGGGTTACGTTTTTAATTAAAAAAAAAAAAATGAAATAAGGATCACAAATCGAGTATTAATATGACCAGATTCATCTAAAATTATCTGATGCTAAAAAAAAAAAAACTACGATATTTGCATATTGATAATTTCCATAAGATATAGACCGTCTTAAAAATCAATATCGAAATCTAGGTTTTTAACTGGAACCGAATTAAAAGGTTTACTTAAAAATATAGCAGCAACCAAGCAGTTCGCAAATAGATGAACAAAGGTTAATCTAACAAGAAAGATGGCTAGACCAACGTTAGACGAGAATAAAGATAAAGTAAAGCTAACTTAGATGGAGAATAAGACAAGGAAACCTTTTGGTAATAGGCTAGATATGAAGAAATGGGTGGTAACTGAATTATAAGTGATATTAAAAACGTACATTCGTTCCAAGAAAAAAAAAAAAAAAAGCACTGAAACAGTTGGCGTCAAATTGATGAAAAAGACGCTGAAGGCGAAGAAACAAAGAAAGAAAAACTTTCAGTCCAGAAAACATTTTTCTGCTTTTCAATTATTAAAGCTCTAAACTAAATCGCTTTCCTCCAACTCATCTTTCTATTGACGTTCAGAGATCTGCTTACTTTTTCTTTCCTTCTCGTTTTCCTCTTATACGTCTAACATTAATTTCCCCCTTTTTTTTTTCTTTAGAGATGGAATCATCAACCAACAATCAGTGAGCTGGACTTCGCACAAAAAGAAAACTAAGTTGAAAGAAAAGTCTAAAAAAAGCCTTTCCTATACAAAAAAAACAAAAACTAAAAAAATAAATTCCCCAAAGGTTGAGACCGCTTATGTCATTACCAGCAAGCTGGGATTAACAGGAAGAAATCCGATTTCAAAAAGCAAGCGAAATATCAATGAGTGAGAAAAAAGAAAAAGAAAAGGATAACTTTCTTTCATAAATCACCGCTTACTTCTTATTTGACTGACAGTATTCTCTACCCTTTCCATTTTAGCGTTCCTCATCTTGTCTTTTCTGTCTTGCATCTGTTTTGCAGATCAATGCCAAGGTTGGTGTTCTTCTGGACCGCTCCTGGCATGAAACCTGTTCGTCCAACACGGCCGTCAAAACCATGATGGCGTCGGATCAGTAAAAGCGAGGTTGAATGAAAACAGAAGTGTTGGCCACTTAGTCCGATGGAAGAAAAGAAAATGACAACGACAAAGAAAGAATGGAAGAAAGAAAGAAAAAAAAAAAAAAAGCCCCCTGCTACTACCACCACGAAAAGAAAAAGAAGAGAAATTAATGGCTAAATAAAAAAAAAATAAAATAAAAATAAACACTGAAGGTGAAAATTACAGACTTAGAAAATCTGTCAAGGAATAAAAGTGCAAAAAATTAGCAAGGAGAAAAAACGTGATAAAAAATGTTAGGTATAAATAAAAAGGCTATATATATATATATATATATATATATATATATATTCGCGGAAACGGTTGTAATGCATGTTTTCAAGTTTAATCAAAACCGATTACAAGATAAGAAAAAACCACATCAGCAGAAATGTTTAAACGTAGATGAGGTAAATGCAGAAAAATAACTGATTTAGTCGTTCTTCTGTGATGGTGACAGTCCGTTTCACTTTTCAATATGATCTTCAGACGAAAGTATGAAACTGACAGTCACCATGCAGTATTGTTTCCTATGTCCACACTATATCTTGAAACGTTTCATCTTCAATACTGAACATTCTTCCTCTATTGATATAACAAATTTGCCGTGCGACGATAGCCTATATATATATATATATATATATATATATATGAAGAAATATAGTCTTAAGGTGTGCTATATTTATGGGATAAAGTGCTCAATATCAGAGATAGAGTGTGTGTAAATATAAAAGTGAACATAGAAGTCAACGCCTAGAGGCGACAGTCTGTTTCATGCTAGACGCAATCGTCAGGCCACGATTGCGTCTAGCATGAAACAGACTGTCGCCTTTAAGTGTTGACTTTAATGTTCGCTTATACATATATATATATATATATATTATGCAGTGTTACATTAGAACAGGCACACACCCACTACAAAACTGTATATCTTGTTTCAACGTTAAAAAACAAAAACTTTTTTTAATGTTTCATCAGGTGGGGAATGACGATGCGACTGAAATATTTTATTTAGAAATGTAGTTATCGAAGCATGCGCCTTTCACTTCCGTCATTAGGAATTTTCCCATAAAAGGTATACGTTTCTAAATAAAATATTTCAGTCACATCATGATTCCTCACCTGATGAAACATTAAAAAAGTTTTCGTTTTTTAACGTTGAAACAAGATGTACAGTTTTGTAGTGGGTATGTGCATGTTCTAATGTAACACTGCATAATAAATAAATATTTACGGCTCTACTTTTGTATTGAACCCTGTTATAAATTAATGTTCTGAACGCTGAAATCTTACTCTTCGTTCTTTTACATTTGTTTATATATATATATATATATATATATATATATATATATATATATATATAAAATATAAAAGGCTCAAACACTAATATTCCATGGTTATAATTTATTACATTAGAATCGTAATCACGATCTAATTCATCAGACCTAGAAATTCAAAAAGAAATCGGAAATTATATTCTTACTCTGTCCTGGACATTGAGTTCTACCTGGATTCTATCTTCTTGGGATTTTATATTTATATATATATATATAGTGAGAGATATATATATATATATATATATATATGTGTTGATATGTCTCGCTAGAACAATTACAAATAAGTAGTGAGTTCGATCCTCACTGGGTGCCCCTTACTTTCGGCTTGTACACATCAAGCTACGCTTGGAAAATCACTATATATATATATATATATATATATATATATATATATATATATATATATATGTTTGTGTGTGTGGGGGCTTTGTGGAGTGAGAATGCTTTTTCTCTGCCGTTATTTCTATCAACATACACGCTGTGACTTCTTTGTAGTTTAATGAGGTTGCGTCTTTCCTGTCGGTGCCAGTGGCCATTAGCAACACATGGGATTGGTAAACAAAGAAAGAATTCGAAGAAAGGCAATTCGTAATAGATAAATCTTCAATAGTTAAGCCAAGAAAAGAAGGAATTCGATGATCACGGTGGAAAAACAAAGAAAGAAAATAAAAGCGAAAATAAACACCAGAAATTTCGGAATCGTATAGATTCACTCTTGTGGTGAAAGGGGGTGGGGCGGTTATAATGTATCTGGTCTTGATAAAAGAAATTCAGTGTTTTGACTTTACGATTATTTAGAACTAGATTCCTTGTCATTGTAGCCTTCCTCACAGACTCGCAACCAATTTGCTGACCTTTTGTCTAACGTGACAGTCATGAAAAAGTAACCCTCCAGACCAATGGTTCCCAACCGATTTTGGGCCACGCCCCACTTTGGTATTTCTAAAATTCTGCTGCCCCCTTTAATATTTAATTCTTACACATTCAAAATGTTAATGCAATTCACATGAAGGAAGCTTAAAAGGCCATTAACTTGGTCTCTAAAGAGAACCCCAAAAAACCATAACGTCCGTGAAAAAGAAAAATTGAAAAACCAAATGACAGTTAAATATATATAGTTGTAAAACATATAATAAAGAATTGAAAGGCAGAAATATAAAATATTTGAATGAAAACTTATTCTGATCATTTTAATCATGAATTAATAATGTCAAAATAAAATTAGAGCTCACGTTGGTATAGTAAGCATAAGGATGAACATCCTGCGCATGCCCCACCAAAATATTACCTTGCCCCACCGACGCGCACCACGTTGGGAATTATTGCTCTAGACAAAATAAAGTGTTTCTTTCAAATCCAATTAAAGTAATCTGATATGATATATCGTAAAAGAGCATACAGACTGAAACGGGGTAATAAAAAAAAAAATAAATGAAGATGAGAATGTTAAAAGTCATCGAATTATTTGCCTACTGTCTGTTATCTGTAAATATTCCCAGAGATAAATTCGTTATTAGTCAGATTTTCGGGTTTAAAATGAACATCATGATATTTGATTTCAAACTGTTAGACATGTTTTTGCTATGTAGTCTCCTAATTAACAAATTCCGATACAACGCCTAAAATAACCAGGCTTCTTACAGCGCGAAATAATGACAAAGATCTTTTTGACTTTTCGTTCAGTCTAAATATCCAGCTAGCTCAAAATATTAATATACCTGAAAAACTTGAACAATTGTAAAAGGGTCTAGAGTTTATTTTTCTCATTTGTAAAGAATCTCTGAGCATACAACCTTGTGCAAATTAATTGAAACAAGTTTTAGTTTCTTTTCCTTCACCTGGAGTGACATGGTGTAATCGATTACTATTTTCCTCAGATTAGGTCATTTGCTGTGGTGTGCAGTAATATGAATCTATTTTCGGGTTTTATGATGAAATTTGTTTGATCTTGAAAAATATTGCGTCGTCCGTGATTGCATCAGATTTTCATCACTCCCAGACACTATTGTCTCGACTGTCTACGGCCGTTGTCCGCGATGGACGTTACTCCAAGGAAGCATACGAAAATTGTAACGTTGCACGAACAAACTGGTAAGCCTTACCAATGAGAAAATCAAAGAACGCAAACTCTCCTGATTTAAATTCAATCGAGAATCTGTGGTCAATCTGTAAGGAAAGACTTTGTGGAATTAACGTATGAAGTACTAACATATGCACTGGGTCATGTTTCAGTGGTAAAATACGAAAAAATGTTATTAATAACGGAATTACTCGTTTTGTTTCAATTAATTTGCAGCCAAGCGCAAAATTCACACAAATGTAAGTTCTAACTGCTTTTAACAAGTACAAGAGTTTAATATTTGGGCAGTGTTTTAACAGAGGACGGAAAGTTTGACACTGAAATTCGAAGAAGCATTGGGATAACAAAAGATGCAATCCAAAAGCTAAGTATTAAGAAACAGAAATATTTCGTTAGAAAAAAAATACTGAACTGTTACGTAATATCAATCCTTCCGTATGGCAGTGAATACTGAACAATCACACAGATGAAGAGGAGACATGAAGTAGCAGATATGTGATTCTACAGGAAGATGCTGAGGAAAGCACGGAGCGAAAATGTGAGCAACGGCGAAATTTTAGAGAAAATAGAAACAAAAGGGAAATTATACTTAATATCAAGAAGAGACAGTGGAAAATTTATGGAGCATATAATGAGGAAAGAAGGCTTGGAAAATCTGATACTCATAGGACAGAGGAAAACAACGCAAAATTCACTTGGTGAGCTTGAGTAAATGGATAGGGGAACAGGGTTAAGGAGAAAATGACAAAATCATTTAATCAAAAGACAAAATTTGTTAAAAGCTACAAAGGTCAGGGATTTGTGGAGAGCCATGATCACCTACGTAACAGCACATAGAAGAAGAAGGTAAAACTTGGGAGGCATAATAATGCTTCCATCAATAGAAACGACACCGGATAAAGTGTGTGTGGCTATCAGAAGGGGATTAATTTGAATGAGATTAAATGCCGAATTGATATGTGATGTAGTTTTTTCTTTTTGATATATATATATATATATATATATATATATATATATATATATATATATATATATAATAGTAGTGGTCAAGAATATATATATATATATATAAATTCTCAAGAGGATAGAATCCAGGTAGAACTCAATGTCCAGTACAGAGTAAGAATATAATATAAAAGGCTCAAATTCCATGGTTATAATTTATTACATTGGAATGGTAATCACGATCCAAATCATCAGACCTACCATATATATATGGGATGCCGATATATATATATATATATATATATATATATGTATATATATATATATATATGGGATGACGATATATAAATTTTTATATATCAAGAACAGTTTTCGATGGATGACAAAGTAGAAAACGTTTTCGTGTGACGCGTTTAGTTCCTTAGGACTTCATCAGACTTCGGCTTGTTTATATTTATGAGACTACATATAAGCACAAACGAGAGATGCTGGGAATTTTAAATTTGGAAAAAATTTTAATTTGTTTTGGTTCTATGGATCTAGCCAATTTCATTTAGATTCTCTTTCTTTTTCTTTCCATCATCTTTATTATTAAAAATCCCACATTTTGATAACAAGGGACCGTTCCAAAAATAATGAAATGCGAAACAAAAGGCTTATAAAATATACCAAAATAGAAAAGCGGCCCTCGCAATTAATAAAAAAAAAATTATTTTACCTTCAAAATCTAATACAATGACAACCTAAAAGAATTTATGTAAACTTAACATAAAATTTGCTACAACTCCATCTAAGAGAATAAAAGACTTAATCAGTATAAAACAAAATATCGAGCCAAAACTTGAAGGAGGAATTTACTCTATCACCTGCAAAGATTGCCAGAAAGAATATAATAAAAATAAATAAAAGATTATTTACATTATTCAGGACACATGGCACAGTGGATAAAAGCGTCGGTTAGATCTAGTGATAGGACGCAAAGAGTTGTGGGTTTGTCGGAGTTAGCTCCTCCTTAATTCCCTAATTGTTCACTAGGGTTCGCTCTCCCTACACTATAAATACTGGGCAACTTCTTGCCTCGTTCTCTTTTTTACTTTGCATTTCAGCGGACACATTTAACACGCGTTTTCGACCACTTGTGGGAAAACGCCATGAAACACACATTCACGTACTTACGAACATTCACCAAAATATAAACTCTTTACGTTCACACACAAACACAAATGTTAATGACTTTGTCACTTGTAAATTTGTTGTTTAATACATATATTTGTTGACATATACATACCAGTCTTTTTTTCTTTACATCTTCGGTTGGACTCAACTTGACTCCGGCATTGTTCTTGTAGTTGGACCTTCTGGCAGGAATACACAGCACGTGTTCCTAATTTAACAACACTCAAATTTCACACGTTCCTCCACAAGTTCAATATCTGGTTAAGGCAGTGGAGAACTTGGAGAGGGGAATTAACAGGAGATAATTGATAACTGACATCCATTAGACATAGCTAGTGGAACTAGAACAGTCTACCCCAGCGAGCGAAATAAAGGGTTCAGTTCGACATTCCAACCACCTGAACCACGTACAACAGCCAAAACGTTGTGATAAATATGGCAACAAAGATGAGGACAATAATCCGAATAATATAAATAGTGTACATAATACCTCATCTCAGAAACATAGACAGATAAATAAAAGATTATATGAACACGAGAGAGACGTTAAAAAAGCCCCAAAGCAACAGATTACACGCATTAGTTGCTCATTGTAACGAAACTGATCGCAATTTTGACATAAAAATGCTAACTTTACTTAAAAGAGAAAATAATTCACTACGTAAGCCGAAAAGGTTTAGAAAGTGATTTAATTGCTTGTTCATCCACAATAAATTTGCATCTAGGCCCTTACAACATTTCACCATTCTTGGCAGATCGTCTGTGATATTTAATAACATCTTTCTAAATTTAAAATTCCCAGCGTCTCTCGGTTGTGCGCATGCGTAGTCGCGTCAACGTAAACATAAACTTAGTCCGATGAAGTCCTAACGGTTGAAACGCGTCACACGAAAAACTTTTCCACTTTGTCATACATACATACAGGCATAAATACATACATACATACATACATACATATATATATATATATATTTGCGAAAATATATAGAAAATAGGAAAGAACTGGTTAGGTAGATCCAAAGTTCCTTAGTATTTTAGTTATTATTTTAAAAAAATAGTGCTCGATACAAAAGTAGAGCATAAATATAATTATTTATTTAAAAATATGATTCCAACTCGCGACATAAAAGGTCTCATGTTTCAAAACAAGAGCCGAAAACTTCAATATAATTATTTGAATTAAATTGAGTTAAAGAAAGCTCTGTTCCATCTTCAAGCGAAATTTTTTTGGATTCCAAAAAAGCGAAATTTTTTTTGGATTCCCCAAAAAAATATATATATGTGTGTGCGTGTTTGTGTGTGCGCGTGTGTGCGCGTGTGTGTGAGCGTGTGTATCTGGATAGAAATAACTCTCAAATATATATTTAATTGAAAATGACTGTTAATTTTTCATCCACTATCTCCTAAAAAGAAAATCCCAATAATTAAACACAACATCTATCTATCTATCTATCTATCTATCTATCTATCTATCTATCTATCTATCTATGTGTGTGTGTGTGTGTGTGTCTGAGTATATGTATGTGTGTTAATTTCCAACTTATCAGTCTCTCC